GATTTTTGTTTTAATTAGAGATGAGTGTCTCACTATGTTGCTCAGGCTAGTCTCGAACTTCTGGCCTCAAACAATCCTCCCACCTCTGCCTTCCAAAGTGCTGGGATTACAAGTGTGAGCCACTGTGCCTGGCTGATTCTCGTCTTTGAAATTCAGAGTTCTTGGCTAAGCAATAGCTTTGTTGACATGTTATCAAAAATATTTATGAAAAATATCTAAACATTTTAATTCAAATAATAAAACTGAACTAGAGGCTTAGTGTTAAGTAAAACAGCTCTGAAAATGCTTAGCATCAAAACAAGGTAGTTCTTTTGAGTTTTAAAATGTGCATCACTAACTACACTGCAAGATTATAAAATCCTAATTAATTTAGTAATAAATGACCAAATCCTTTAAATATGCGTCTTAAAATTATTTACTGCATTTTAGTGTGAATGTTAGTAATCAAAATGTCTTTAGTGGGAATATAAAATTATTTGTTTTAACTTAACTTACACATCTTAGACATACAAATATTATATAGAAATGAGATACAGTGGTACTTACTTGTGATATGTTGGTACAACATCATGGAACAAATGGAAGATATTCCTCACTGAGTAGAAAAGTTGAACAGCACTAAAAAGAAAACAGACTTAACAGAAATGCCTAAGAATACACTAAAAATAAGAAAAAAATAAAACTAAGTGCATCTTCAGTGAGAGTCATAAGCTAAAACTACAGTTGCAGAGAACACCTGCTTTGGATGCTGGAAAACACCATTAATCTAGATGGAAATATAGTCTCAACCAGTATTTACTAACCAGACTACAATTCTAAACACCTGGATCCATTAATAATTGTAAGAAGAGCAGCATTCAACCCAAAGCCTCTTTTCTATTTATCAATTTCTGTTCTGCCAGTACCCAGAGTATCCCTTCAGTAACAAATGGAGCTAAGCCTCAAGCAAATGTCATCTACTCACTGATGCACTCTGCAAAGGGCAAGGTATCAATAAAAGCACTCCTTGGTTCTTTTAGAATCAGTCTGACTTTCAGCTTTCACCTTTTCTCCTTCTTTCCTCAATGCAAGGAGGTGAATCAACATTTCTAGGATAGAATCTAGCCCTCAAGATATTTTGCCCTTTAAATCTAGCCTTAAAACACCTACAGATTATTATTAAAATGCACTTTTAAAAGGCAAACATAAGGTTTGTGTAGCTTACCTCTACACAAGAATATCTTAAGCTATGTACCTTAAAAGCTTACAGGGATTTTATAAATATTTAGGAAAATAAGTCACACCCAAAAACCCTGTTACTATTTGATTATTATAATACCTGATTAAATTATTTCATTTTTGTGCAGAAGCTGCTGTTTGAGTTTGATAATGAAAAAGGGGGTTGTTGTACTGTAGCTGTGGTTTTGTTTGTCCTGTTAAAAACTATTACTTTTAATGGAAAGAATGTCCATAGATAGTCAGTATACAAATACTATTTGGTGTCTTGTGTTCTCAAAAAGTTTAAGAAATATTGCCCTGCATCTCTAACTTCTGGTCTGATATATTTCAGAAGAGTGCCATGTGAAGAAACTGTCCTATATTCATTTTGCCAACGGTCACTCCTATGTTCATTTTATTCCTTCTTACAATTAACTTTGAATGGACATGTGAATGTAATGATTCATTAAAGTCAGAGAAGTATCTTGGGAGACATGTTCTTTCTAAAGCAGAATAAAATAAAGAGGTTTGCTCGTATGTGAGATAAAAACTGAACTCTGGAAGTCCATCTAAAGATGCAATTTGATTGGGTCAAACCCCAACTGAAACTGTTTTCTTTATGAAGATAGGAAGAATGAAATTGTTAAGCACAGATTCAAACTAAAGAAGCTTTTATAAACCTGCGCTGCTATCAACTTGGTCCATGCTCTGCCATTTTCTTCTCAATTTAGTCTAGGAGTAGGGAAGAAGCTTATTAGACAAAAACAGATTCCGTATAAGATAATAGAATAGAACTTAAGGTAACGTGAATGCAATATAGATTAGAAGTCATCTTGAAAGAGTGAAGCCAGATCCTTGGCATGTTTCTTTCCCTTCTACCTTTGGCTGCCTAACAAATTGTTATTGCTTTAAATATAAACATTTAAAACGTAAATTAATTAGGGACTGGGTTTCAAAAGGTAAAAAGAATGTTAGGCTAAAGAGCCCAAGCAAGCTGGAATAGAAGATATGACTATTACCCACTGCCACCACAATAATAAACATTTAAGTATTAATCATTTTCCAGGTAAGAGTCTAAGTTCTTTGCATGTGCTTTCTCGTATAATATCATTCAATTCAAATAAAAAGTAAAAGTAAAAATTCAACAACAATTGAAGAGCTTTTGTTAAAAAGTGATTAACAATTTTTAATGTCAAAAAATCCATTTGTGCATCCATACAAATGCACCTACTTCTTATACCTTGCTCATACATCTACGCTATTGAAAATAAAAGTTAGAGATAGACATAAATCTGTGTGATGCACTGGGTTTTGTTTTGTTTTTTTTCCAGAAAAAGCATTAACTTCTAGGATAAGAAAACCCAAAGAATTCCAGCTAATTTTCCTGATAAACATCTAGTTAGGTATGCATTTAACCAAGTCATTGCCATTTTCACACAACCCAGAATTCGTACCATTGATCACTACTGGTTGTTGCCTCTAGTAAAGTCTGATAGGCAAGTTCCATTAATTTCTTCACTGATTCACTGATCCGGCATGTGGGCAAGGAAAAGGAATGTTGGTCCAATGTATTTTCAGGCTCTAAATTCATCACTTCATTGTACTGAGTATTGGACACTTTCTGTACTTCCAGTTTGTTATCCTCATCAGGAGTGGGTAACTCCGGCACATTTATCTTAGAATCAGGAATAATCTAAGATTCAAACACAGAAATATAGAAAATATATTGTTTTCAGAATAATTCAAATATAAGCACATGGTGAAGAATAAGATACTGCTTGCTTTCATGGTACAGCTACGGCTCTACAGAGTAATTAGAAGATTTCAATAATTATGACAATATTTTAATGACTGCTGAATCCTAAATGAAAGCATGTCATAAGTGATAAACAATCCCCTTAATCCCCTTTACTGTGACATTCTTCTAAGTGTTCTTTTTGAGATAGGGTCTTGCTCTGTCACCCAGGCTGGAGTGCAGTGGCACAATCATAGCTCACTGTAGCCTCAGCCTCCCCCGTAGCTGGGACTACAGGCACCACCACACCCAGCTAATTTATTTTTATTTTTAGTAGAGAAAAGGTCTTGCTATATGGCCCAGGCTGGTCTCGAACTCCTGGGCTCAATTCATTCTCCCTCCTCGGCTTCCCAAAGTGCTGGGATTACAGGCATGAGCAAACGCACCCGGCCCCAAGCATTCTTAATCTTGCCTGAAATAGCAAAGCTGTGCAACTAGCCTAAGATTTCAGCTAAATAAAAAGACCTTCAAAAATAATTTGTCTCATACTAGACTATTAGTATTACAGAGCAGCATAATTTGGAGTTCCATTGTCTAGATTCTTGAACAAATTATTTTGTACCAGGCACATGTGTTGGTTTAGTCTAAGAAATAACTCATTCAAACTAGCATATCCTCCCATTATAAAAAAAAAAAAAAGCTTCAGCTTCAATCAAAAATTTCCTTTGTTGGGACTAAATGAAAGAACAGTAGGCTGTGAATGTGAAAACAGTAATATTTTTTACCCTAACTTTTAACAAAGTCATTTAACCTCTCTGGATCTCAATTTTCTCATTGTAAAATAAATAATATACTAATAATGGCTTTCGAAACTTGTTTCTCAAAGATGTTTCAGCAGTTAAAAAAAAAAAAGATTAAGCATGTAGAGGCAGCAGGCTCCCTACTCCCACTGCAAGAGTAACAGCTTTGCACATACTGGACTTTGACAGAGATTTTCTGGCAGAAAAGGTTCAAAGTCTAATAAAACCATTTAAGTCAGTGGACTTGGCTTTCTAATCTGTAAAATGGTCTAATAATATCTACTTCAGAGAGCTGTTATGAAGTTTAAATGAGAATACAAATATCAGGGGCTGGGTGGTCAAAAACTATGGCTAAGATCAGAATGATGATGAAAAAATTTACTTACAGAGATGATTAAAAATGCTAATCTTTGCCTGAAAAATAGTGGGCCTGGATACATAAGACTCGAAAAAGTGACTTCATGAGGAGGGACAAAGGAAACTAAGATGGAAGAATGTTAGACCTAATAAGACGTCTCTTAAGACAAAATGTAAAAACCACACAACAAAAAAAAACATAACTATAGATCTTTTGGGAAAACAGTTAGTACACATAGGGGAATAAAGAGAATTGAGAAAAAGACCATGAAAAGCAATTAAGTTGAAAATGTGTTTTAGAAAAGGGAAGAGGAGCTTTTTCAAAGTTGGGAAGTTTAGAAAATCTAATTCCAGGGCCTAAAGGTCAAGAGAAAGAACCAGGCTGGAATCTAAAGCAGTGGTTCTCAATCAGGGACAGTTCTGTCTTCCAGGGGGCATTTGGCAATGTCTGGAGATATTTTTGCTTGTCACAACTGGAAGAGGTGCTACTGGAAACTAGGGAATAGAGGTCAGGATGCTGCTAAATATCCCATAGGACAGTCCCCCTCAGCAAAGAATTATCTGGTCCCAAATGTTAACACTGCCACTGCTGAGATATCCTGACCTAGAAGAAGCTACATTAGGACTTGAGTACTCAGGAAAAATGCAGTTTTACAAACTCTCAAAATTACTTGAGTAGGAAACTCAGATTATCTAGTTCTCTCACAGTACAGAAGAGGAAAATGAGGTTCAACAAGGTGAAAAGATTAAGCCCAGAGTCACAGAGCAATTCAGTAGTAATGCTGTTTACATCAAGGAGTTGTGAGATACATATGAATTCATTTACCAAAGGTACTTAGTAAGCACATGAGCACTGAGTACATACTAGTAGTATGTATGTACCAGGTATTTTCTAAGTGCTGGAGATAAAACAATAAACAGGGTCCCGGCGGTAAGATGGCGGCTGCCGCGGAGTGCGATGTGGTAATGGCGGCGACCGAGCCAGAGCTGCTCGACGACGAAGAGGCGAAGAGGGAAGCAGAGACTTTCAAGGAACAAGGAAATGCATACTATGCCAAGAAAGATTACAATGAAGCTTATAATTATTATACAAAAGCCATAGATATGTGTCCTAAAAATGCTAGCTATTATGGTAATCGAGCAGCCACCTTGATGATGCTTGGAAGGTTCCGGGAAGCTCTTGGAGATGCACAACAGTCAGTGAGGTTGGATGACAGTTTTGTCCGGGGACATCTACGAGAGGGCAAGTGCCATCTCTCTCTAGGAAATGCCATGGCAGCATGTCGCAGCTTCCAGAGAGCCCTAGAACTGGATCATAAAAATGCTCAGGCACAACAAGAGTTCAAGAATGCTAATGCAGTCATGGAATATGAGAAAATAGCAGAAACAGATTTTGAGAAGCGAGATTTTCGGAAGGTTGTTTTCTGCATGGACCGTGCCCTAGAATTTGCCCCTGCCTGCCATCGCTTCAAAATCCTCAAGGCAGAATGTTTAGCAATGCTGGGTCGTTATCCAGAAGCACAGTCTGTGGCTAGTGACATTCTACGAATGGATTCTACCAATGCAGATGCTCTATATGTACGAGGTCTTTGCCTTTATTATGAAGATTGTATTGAGAAGGCAGTTCAGTTTTTCGTACAGGCTCTCAGGATGGCTCCTGACCATGAGAAAGCCTGCATTGCCTGCAGAAATGCCAAAGCACTCAAAGCAAAGAAAGAAGATGGGAATAAAGCATTTAAGGAAGGAAATTACAAACTAGCATATGAACTGTACACAGAAGCCCTGGGGATAGACCCCAACAATATAAAAACAAATGCTAAACTCTACTGTAATCGGGGTACGGTTAATTCCAAGCTTAGGAAACTAGATGATGCAATAGAAGACTGCACAAATGCAGTGAAGCTTGATGACACTTACATAAAAGCCTACTTGAGAAGAGCTCAGTGTTACATGGACACAGAACAGTATGAAAAAGCAGTACGAGACTATGAAAAAGTGTATCAGACGGAGAAAACAAAAGAACACAAACAGCTCCTAAAAAATGCACAGCTGGAACTGAAGAAGAGTAAGAGGAAAGATTACTACAAGATTCTGGGAGTGGACAAGAATTCCTCTGAGGACGAGATCAAGAAAGCTTATCGGAAACGGGCCTTGATGCACCATCCAGATCGGCATAGTGGAGCCAGTGCTGAGGTTCAGAAGGAGGAGGAGAAGAAGTTCAAGGAAGTTGGAGAAGCCTTTACTATCCTCTCTGATCCCAAGAAAAAGACTCGCTATGACAGTGGACAGGACCTAGATGAGGAGGGCATGAATATGGGTGATTTTGATCCAAACAATATCTTCAAGGCTTTCTTCGGCGGTCCTGGAGGCTTCAGCTTTGAAGCATCTGGTCCAGGGAGTTTCTTTTTTCAATTTGGCTAATGAAGGGCAACCACCCAGAACCCAGAAAATGCAGATTCACTCAGTTTAATCTTGAATGTGGAAACAGTTCACCTCCTCCCTTCATCACGTCTCCATGTACTTAGAGCAGTTTCGTTTTCTCAGTTGGATGCCCTGTGTCTCTGTGAGTGGGGTGGAGCAAAGGGAACCAATGCCCAAGACCGCGGGCAGGGGAGGGAGGCGGGGGTGGACAGGGAGGCAGCTTGTGAATTTTTGTTTTACTGTTTAACTTTATTAAAAAAGAAAAAAAAAGAAGAGAATAAAATGTTTTGACCCTTTAAAAAAAAAAAAACAATAAACAAAACAGTCAAAAAAAAAAAAAACCCACAAAACTCTATCCTCATGGAGCTTACTTTCTAGAGGGAGAAACAATAAACAATTCATATAAAATGTTGGTTGATGAAAAATAAAAAAAAGAAAAATACAGCAAGGAAGGGGTACAGGAAGGAAATAGGGGAGGTTATAAATTTTTTTAAGTGATCAGAAAGTACTTTTTAAAAAGCAAATCATATGATATGCAGTAAGAATATTCCATGCAGAGGTAACAGGTGGTTCAGAGATTCAGAAACCAAGTAGGCCTAGCACATTCAAGGAACAGAAGTAAGTCCAGGGTGCCTGCAGCACAGTGAAGAATGAATGCAATAGAAAATAGAGTCAGAGAGGCAATAGGAGGCAGATCAGATAAGGCCTTGTAGTCCACTGTAAGGCTACTGGGTCTTCTCTAAATAAGATGGGAAGCTACTGGACTTTCTGCAGAAGAGTGACATAATCAATTGATATTTATGTTAAAAGAAACCACAGCCCAGTTCTTGGTATTGAGTAGATTTCTGCTCCCTTAACAATCCACAATTACTTCAAAAAGTGTTAATATCTGTGCATTTCAAATGGCTAATTAAATATTTTGTTGAAGTGGACACAATAATAGGGTACCCCAAGGAAAATGGGACACAGCAAAAGAAGGGATGAAGAAGAAAAGCCTAGTTCCCTCAGTGATAGCAGAAAATGGCTGAAGTCTGCTGTTAAGGGATTGCCTCAATCTATGTTTTGCTTTATACCCAATTCAAAGTATATACATTATTTCATACATGTAAGAAATGAAGAAAAAAAAAAAGGTTAAGAGTCCACTGCCTTTACAGGTAATTATTTATATCCTATCTTTTTATTTACCTGTTTTATTATTTTAGCTTTAAAACTAGTCCCTCTATTCAAGTCAACATTTGCATAACAGGATATAATTTCTGGACATAATATAGCCCAAGTGTACCTGTCACAAAGTTGTGTCCTAAAACCTTCAGAAATAAAGATGAGAATAATCTACTATCTCACTTCAACAATAATAATCCATTACATGTATGTAGACTTTTTCCATTTTTACAAGGCTTTCATGTGCATTATCTTATCAGCACTTCACAATACCCAATGGAAGACGTAGAGATTAGGACCACTTTAACGGGGACAAAACCAATGTAAAAAAGATTAATAACTTGACTCAGCTCAACAACCATCATCCTCTTTTCCACTTTACTATATGCATCTCAAAATGAGTTGCTTTCTCATATACAATGCTTCATATACAATGCAATATAACCCTGATACCTTCACAGTGTTATGAATTTCAGAGGTCATTAGATTTCTGGCTGCCACAATCACATCCTGGCACTTCTTGTTTGCAAAATGAGAATTGATGTTACGAGCATATTTCAGCAAATCTGTAGTATCTCCTTTTAAAAATTTCATTTCCTTTAGGGCATTTTCAAATTCTTCAGTGGATTGTATGATCTGAGATACACACACAAAAAAGAAAAGAATCACATACATATATTTCATTACAATATTAGAATTTCAAATCCAATGTATAAAAAATAAGAACCAAGCTGTTCATTTAAGATTTAGAATGGACCATCAATTACTGGGTATAAAAATATACATATTTCCAGCCTTAAATTTATTAGAAAGAATATCTTCAATAGAAATGTCTGACTCTACTTGGTAAAAGTACAGTTAAAATAAATATACTTATTTTAGTACTCAAGGAAACACTAAAAAGAAGCAAAAAAGTAAAATGTCACACAATAGCTATTATAGCTAATGTAAGTATAAATGGATATAAAGAAAATATATTTAATAAGAAAACAAGCTTCTGCAGTTAAAGAGGTAGGAAGCCAGGAGAAAAACAAAGTTATATGGAATTTGTCTCTATTCCTTATTAACAATTTGCTTAAAGGTATAACTAAAGAACAAACTATCTCCAAGGAAAAACAAAAGACAGCAATAATAATCAACAGTGTCTTAAAACCTTCTGTGCTATCGCGACTCTTTACCTCTTCATATTGCTGTAATTTGCTGCTATTTGTTGGAATAGAATAAACCAAACAGTTTTTGATGAGGCACTCAGACAAGTCCTCCCAGATCATGTCTCCAAGCATCTCAGCCAACGGGACAGTAGACGTTTTTTCATTTTCCAGGTCAGAGTCAAGTGACAGATCTGAATTTTTTTAAAAAAAGAAGTTTTAAACAAGAAACCATTCGCAGTCCTGGAATATTCTTAGGTTTTCTAGAATTCTTTAATTTTAAGATGATGGGGAAGAAAACAGCACAGATAATTCTACAGCCTTCTCAACTGACTGTGTGGGACAAATCATGACACACAATTATTATTATTTTATTTTCACTGCTCAAATGAATTGTCTGTACTATATTACTGCCTGTACTCTGTAACAATGAGGTATTAAGCCATCTACATTATAATCATCTAGTGCTAAGCTGCTGATCTGATTTGACAAGCACGCAGAAGTTCTGCATTCTAACTTGAAACTAGTTTAGAATAAAATCTCACTTATTTAATAATGAATAAACATACTTTTTTCATCTATGCATAGAATCTGAGTGTTTGTACTTTATAGTAAAACATAACTAGTCTATAAAACAGAGTATTTCAATACCTCCTCTACAGTATATGTTATGGTGGTTTTTTCCAACACATATTGAGGATGATGTTTAGAACATCCTATTAATCAATTAAATAATAGTTAAGAACCAGTGGCCAATGTAGAAGGAAGAGGACTCATAAAAGAGACTAGCTGTTATGAACCTAGTTCTGATTCACAAAGGAAGACTTAGGGGATTAAGAGCCTTAGAAGAGCAGGGCACAGTGACAAAGCCATTCCGGAGGCTGAGCTGGGAGGACCACTTGAGCCTAGGAGCTCAAATCCAGCCTGGGCAACATAGCAAGATCACGTCTCTTTAAACACAAACACACACACACACACCCCTGAGAAGAAAGTGAACATATTATCTCAAAGCCTTTAAGATACTTCACAACGTCTAAAGTCTAGTCTGCATTGTCCAATATGATAGCCACCAACCACATTTTGCTACTAAACACTTAAAATGTGGCTAGTGTGACTGAGAAATTCAACTTTTTAAAGTTTTGATTAATTGAAATTTAAGTTTAAAAACAGAAGCAGGGGTGTGTCCTTATAAAGGGGCAGCACAAAGGAGCCTTGTGGTTTTGGAACAGTTCTGTATCTTAACTGTAGTGGTGGTTACATGAATTTACACATATGAAAAAATTGCACAGAACTACACAAACACACACACGAGCATCTAAAACTGGTGAAATCTAAATAAACTCAATGAATTGTACCAATGTTAATTTCCTGGTTTTGATATTGCACTATACTGTACTATATATTACTATATAATATTTAAGATGTTAACACTGTAGAAAATTGTGTGAAGGAGGCACAAGACCTCCCTGTAATTTTTGAATGGAAAAAAAATTTTAAAGCAGCAGGGTAAAATACTTTTCCATTAAACACAATTTCATTGTTTTGATAGAACTACATTTCACTGCAACCACTGCATCACATAAAATATTACTGTTGTATTGTCAAGCACTCAACAGGCACAAATGTCATTTCTAGTATTTCATATAATACATTGCCAAACCAGTCAGTGTCAACAGACTGATTCCATCATCATTTTTTCTCCAGACTGATCCTATCACAGTTTTCTTTCCTCTATGCACTAGTATAACACTGTAATGTGTTTATTTGAATATTTTATGCATAGAGCACAAGTTATGGTGATACCTACATAAATGGTAATAGGTAGTTAAATTGAAATACTTATTTTAGTTATGATATTACTCTTTTTCTAGATTAAGAAAATATGTACAAATTTTAAAATTTAAAACAAAGCATACTATTGATACAGTCAAGTAAAGATGGAGAAGCTGGTAGTACCACTGAAAGAGCAAAGGTAAAAAAGACTAGAAGAAAGCATGTCACAAATTTCACAATCAATGGCAGCTGCAATTTGCTACAACAGGGTAAAACAAAAAAAGCTGCTTGCTTGTTGTATACAAAACTTTTTTTTTTTTGAGATGAAGTTTCGCTCTTGTTGCCCAGGCTGGAGAGCAATGGCGCGATCTCGGCTCACTGCAACCTCCACCTCCCGGGTTCAAGCGATTCTCCTTCCTCAGCCTCCCAAGTAGCTAGGATTACAGGCACCCACCACCACGCCCAGCTCATTTTTGTATATTTAGTAGAGACAGGGTTTCACCATGTTGACCAGGCTGCTCCTGAACTTCTGACCTCAGGTGATCCACCTGCCTTGGCCTCCCAAAGTGCTGGGATTACAGGCGTGAGCCACTGCACCTGGCCACAAAACATTTTTTAAGACAATAAAGTGAACAATATTAAGGGACATTTTCAGCAAATACATTAGGAATTTGATGCTTCCTGTGAAAAAAGAATTGACAAAATTAGTCACCTGGAATCAGAATTAAATGTCCAATAAAAAGTGTGATTTTAACAGGACCTGAACTTCTAACTTTCAATAACTTGGATTCTTGTATTTAAAAAAAAAACCCTTTTTAAATGGAGAGCTAGCAAAAGAAGTGATTATTTTTTAATTTTCTTAAAAATTATAAGGAAAAGACATGTTTTTTAAAATGTAAAAGATCTTCAATGAAGCAACCACAGAATACAGTCCACAAAATATAATATCTTTCTAACAATATCAAAGATCAATTGATTCAATTTCTGGAAAATTGAAAATACTTTCCTTGTGTGTGTGTGTGTGTGTGTGTTTATTTTATGTACAAAGAGGCATCATGGTTTTGCATTAGGTAGATGCCTTGGATAATCCTTTCCAGGAGGATCATTTAGTCCAACTTAATGAAACCAATATCCTTCGCATACTGACGGAAACACTGGCGGCACATATTGAGGCCATATTTCCAGATCAGACCATGCTGGTTTGAGCAGACACG